GTTGTGTTGAAATCATTACACAATTCAAAGCAAATTACATCCGAGTTTATAAACGAGGTAAAATGAACACCTTCAAGCAGTGTTGTTCATTTTAGATGTCCAAACACTTTTTCGACTGTCCAAATGTCCAAATGTCCAAGTGTCCAAATTCTTGTACTATTAAAAAATTAAATAAAAAATATATGATTATATACAACGAGAAATTCTAAACATTTTTAATTAGAATGTCCAAACAGGTTAATTTAATAAAATTTTGAGTAAATTTGTTTTTTTTTGTCAAAAATGTCCAAGATTGTCCAACGGCATGTCCAAATCTGTCCCGTGACAACACTGCCTTCAAGTGCAAGCGCATTACTTTTCTGTTTTTCAATCTAATTAACTTTTTCAAAATTAGATTCAGACTGCTCTAAAGTGCACTTTTGATATTAGTTATCATGGAATAACTAAAAACTCAACTACAAATGAATACTCGCTAGTGATGGATTATGCAGAAGATGGCGATCTACGCAAATATGTGAATTCCAACTACCAAAAATTAACTTGGAACGATAAATTATATTATTTAAGGAATATTATTAATACGTAGTTTGCATAAAATTCACAATGAAAATTTTGTGCATCGTGACTTTCACCCTGGAAATATATTAATACATCTTAACGATGCTCAAGTTGCTGATTTTGGACTTACTAAACCAACAAATATAGTAAAATCTAAAAGGAAAGCCATACACTCAAACTGCAGATATTTATGGTTCCTGGATGATTACGTACGAGATTGCCACAGGTGAATGACCATTCGGTGCACGAAGTCATGTTAATGATCTCGTATTCGACATCTATAATAGAGTACGACCTACGATACCAAATGATGTTCCTAAATTATTCAAGTTTATTATTGCAAATGTTGGGATCCTATTCCAGAAAACAGACCAACTGCTAAGGAACTTTTCGACTTTCTCTTCGTCTTCTCTATTAGCGGATATGATAGAGAACCGAATACTTTGCATTTTCAGTACAACAGCTCTTTAGAAGATCCTAAAACACGTAAGACACGTGAAGGAATTAAAGAGTGTCTCAAACTAGTAATGCAGAAATTAGATGAGAAGATGAAAAGTGTCCAATGCAGTTTACACCAGTCGAATGTTATCCACAAAAATAATTTCAATTCCAACTGACACAGGTGCTTTTTATTTCTAAATATAAATCATATCGATCTTATCGTTTCACGTTCATTAAAATTTATATCGAATGTTTAAGGTTGACAAGTGTTCCAAACGATTACGATTTGAGTATACCACAGAAACCAAAGAGAACGAAAAGATGTCGAGTAACTTGCAAGAAAAACTACAGATTCAAAATGAAATCAACGAGATAGATGAAAAGATATCGAGTGTCTTACAAAACATGGAAATATCAAAAGAAAAACGCTGTGCTAGATTGGAAGAAAATAGCAATTACTTTATTTTATACCTATATTATATTAAATTACATGTAGTAAAGTCGAACGTTTATATACAACATTTGTTCAACATATCGATATGTCTAATTGTCACACGGAATTGCTACTTTTGTTGAATGAATAAATTTTTAATTTTCTCATCATAACGATAATGATTTGCTAGACACGATAACTCGTACACTGATTGGTGCACGTGGTATATTCATATTCACATAATATATCTCGATTGTCGGACATTAGTTGAACATTTTTTTTATAGGGCGGGTGAAGGTTCATTCTAAACCGGTTTTAGCTTTCGGATCAGTTAGAGGATAGAGTATCACCCCCAGTTATATGTTATTCCATAAACAATAACCGGATATCTGCTATGAAGAAGGACCTATGCTTCTAGTACCCTAGCCACGGCAAAACAAAGTGGCAGATCACGTGATTCTGATTACGATGCCGACCTGAAACAACAATCTGACAATCTCGCTTAATTATAATACATAATATTAAAGATTTTCGATTCGGGTTATTTTAGGTTAATGTTATCATCTAAAAATAGATGTTTTGAGGTAATTAAGTTTGCTGGTATTATAGATATTTCCGAGCAAGGTTTGATAATATGGAATATCTTTTTACTCTATCTTTCCACCATGTCAAAGGGTCACAGCTTCTTTTTTCATTAGGTTCACGAAGGTAATGATCGAGTTCACTCTCTTTAAAATTTTCATGATCTGATTCCTCGTCTCTGTATAGAGTTGCCATTAATAATTTGATGTCACAATTTCGGATGTTATGATTTTGGATATTGGTACATTAGATGATTCACTTCTGGAAAACTCTTCAATTGAAAGTTGGCAAAGCTCTTCTTCAACAACACAAATTCATCGTAATTTGTTATCTTTAGAATTGTATTACCAAGAAACTTCAAACTTATTCACTTCTGGAAAACTCTTCAATTGAAAGTTGGCAAAGCTCTTCTTCAACAACACAAATTCATCGTAATTTGTTATCTTTAGAATTGTATTACCAAGAAACTTCAAACTTTTTATTTGTGAATTCAAGAATGCTATTATAAGTTTGACATCTTTGGAGAGACAAATAACTTACAGCTTTAACAAAATTTTGTGATTCTTCTTGCTCCAAAGGTCCAAATAACAATTCAGCATAGTCATCTTTTGTTTCTTTGCCAGAAAGTGCAAACTCTTTGATAGATAATGTCATTATTGAATATATAAGATTTGAGAGTAGAATTATTTGAACCAGAGAATATAATAGTAGCATTATAGAATGGCTAATAAGATCATCTAACAATCTATAAAAATATTGGTTAAATTCAAATAAGTAATAATATAAACAAAAAAATACATATTCTATTTATTACTTGACAAATTTATTAATTTCAAATCTTTACTATCAAGTCTATCATATCATTCTAATAGTAATATTAAAGCAAGATAATTTATTGTCTGTTGTAGTTCTTTAAGCTGAATCAAGCCAAATATGATGAATTCCATCACACGATAAAAAAATATTCAACTAATCTCTGACAAATGTCCAAATTGTTCAATATTCTTTAACAATATTCATATAAAAATTATTCAACAAAGTAACAATTTTTCGTGTGATAAATATTGAACATTTTTATTTAATAACCAATCAAATCTGAACAAAAAAATATCTGTTTTTGAAAAATAGCTTGTGTTTTGAAATTTGTCTATGTAACTATTTTTGATGTTCTAACAAAAAAGATTTCTTGTAAATTTTACTATATAATATAACATGTGTTATAATATAATTTTAACTCTAAATTTATTTCTAACTATAATTAAAATTGTATTTACTTTATATTTTGTAATTTGATTAATTACTCCTAAAAATCATATGTTTATAAATTTATAATTATGTTATTAGTACAAAAGTTAAATATTTATATTCAATATTTGTTACACAGAAAATCATTACTTTGTTGAATGATTTGTTGTATAAAAATAATTTGAATATTGTTAAATATCAATTGAAAATTTTTTTATAGGATTGAGTTAGTATATCAGTAATTATTTGGTGAATTTTTGAATAATGGCATTTTTCTTGAGCATCTTTAAGTTGCTCTGATTGTTTAGGACTATGCAAAAAAAATCAAATTTTTAGATCATCTAATAAATTGTATTACAAGTTTGAGATTTTTGGGTATACTTGATTGAAGTGTATATACTATAAAAGCTGGTTATATACTATTGTTCTTTAGACAGATTACTTTTTAAATATTAGCATTATTGTTCGTTATGATACACAAAATTCATCCATTCAATCTCCATTTGGTGATAATTTGATCAAGTGAATCTTTGATGTATTTAGTTATGTATGGTGCATAACATCTAAAGTCATCAAATGTTTGTGTTTTATAAAATGTATAAACATCTTTACTAAGAAGCAAATATAAAATTTAATCCGTGAATATGCTCAGAGAGGGCCTATTCTATCATATTCACGGATTAAATTTTGTATTTGCTTCTTTGTAAAAATGTTTATACATTTTGTAAAATACAAACGTTTGATGACTTTAGATGTTATGCGCCATATAGTGATAAAAGTGGTTGAATTAATAATAAAAATTCTTTCAAAGTAAATCTGAATTGGTCCATGTTTCTGTTATTCTAATATCCTTCATTTGTTCTTCTCCATTTTTGGAAATGAACGAATATTTAAAATATTAATAATACATGTACATGTACTGGTCCATGTATTGATATTCACCATGACCACTTTGGAAATGTAAGTGGCACATGACGAATGCCAATTTTTGCAAAAACAATAGGTCAAGTCAAGCTTTATTAATTTATCAGTTTATTTTTACCAGAGGTATATAGATTTAAACTTATACACTTTTCTCAAGTTTCATCATACTGGCCAAACTTCAACATAATTTGGATCGTCCATGGCCTTCAGCCAATCAAACAAATGTACTAGATTTCTAATGATGCCAAATTTACAATTGTAAAATCATGTGATTATTCGGTCAGTATTATAAAATTAAAATAATTCTGGTTGAAATTAAGAATTAAATTAGGAATTAAAAATTATATTTTTTTTTAATTTAGCTAATTTTTTTGGCAAATGACCAAAAATGGTTATTATTATCGTTATGTGAAAAGCAATGTTCGTATCGTTATCGTTATGGTTTAATACAAATGTTTTGCATCACACAAAAAACAAAAATTAGAAATTCAATAACATTACATGCAAATATCTGAAACTCACAAATTCCGACACATGTTATTGTTATTTACCAAATTTTGCAAAACATATAAATATAATTCTTTTCTTAGTCAATAATGATCGATGCAATTTCACATGATGCGTTTTCTTTGACTGTTTACGATATAAATAATTCAAAACAGATATTTAAATAACAAACGACTAAAACTTTACGAAATTTAAATACACTATTCTTTACCACTCTGCATACCCTCCTTTAGCCTCAATTACATCATTTATTCGTTCGGGCATACTTTCAATTAGACTAGTTGAAAAGTCATGATCCATATTCTTGAATAGCTTCCATAATTCACCTTGAACACGAACTGGATTTTCTAATTTTCTCAAACATATATCCATCTCATTCCAGAGATACTCTATAGGTTTGAAATCAGGAGATTGTGGTGGCCATTCTAATACATCAATATCGTTATCATAAAACCATTGTTCCGTTAAATTAGCTGTTTCAGATAATTATTATGTTGAAAATAATATTATTCTTATTCAACTTGTAATGCTCGATAATTCCTAACAAGTCATCGTTAAAAATTTTGCAGTATGGTGCATAACCTCTAAAGTCATAAAAAGTTTGTATTTTATAAAATGTATAAACATCTTTATTAAGAAGTAAATCCGTGAATATGATAGAATAGGCCCTTTCTGAGCATATTCACGGATTAAATTTGATATTTACTTCTTAGTAAAGATGTTTGTACATTTTATACAATACAAACCTTTAGATTTTATGCACCATATAAAGTTCTTTGCATGATGCAAATTTCTTTATATACATGTATCACAAATTTCAAACGTCAAGATTAACGTTAAAAATATACTGCTTATCGTTAGTACATGTACATGTATTACTACAGAAAAATGTAATCATTAATTTATAATGATGATAACAACATAGTTTACATGTGATTTATTACTTTTCTTGAAATTATCACTCTGAATATTATATCATTTAACCTTTATTGCATGTCTAAAATCTGTGCTCACCCGCAGTAACTGCAACCAACCGACACATGATAATAATTAAAGGTTAATTTAGAATTAAGAGTATAATTAGAATCAGAGTTATCTTATATATAAATTTTCCCTCTGACATTTTTTTAATGTTCCATGTTAGATTAAGGCATCTGTTAGCTGTATTTTTTGCGTTGCTCAGATTTGTTTTGGCGGATGATCAAAATTTACACATCATTATTGGTTTATGTTACTGCGGGTGGCACAGATTTAAGACATGTCTTTTTTTAATATCGATATAGATGCATATACACACCCCTACAATAAATTACTGGAAAAGCATAGTAAAACATAGTAAAATTGAGATTATCTCTTTATAATGAAAATTTTATTTTTATTAGTAAAAATTTTTTGATATTATATCAAAATAAAGCTAAGAACCTGTATATTTTTTATATATATTTTCAGAAATATTTCGGATTGTAAAGTTGGTTACACAAACTTTTTAAGATTAAAAATTCAAATTATTAAATTTTAATTATAAAAAGTTTGTATAACTAACTTTACAATCCGAAATATTCTGAAATTAAATTTAAAATATATATATAAAATATATGTTAAAATACAGATTCTTAGCTTTATTTTGATATAAAATTATTTATAATAAAAGTAAAATTTTCATTCTAAAGAGATAATTTCAATTTTACTATGTTTTTTCTGGATTTCCGGGAAATAATTGAATAATATTAAATATTAAACTAAAGTCTTTGACTTCAATTTTATATGCTTTACGTATACATACTGCTGAAACTATTTTTTTGAAAAAAAGTAATTTCGGCAAGCAATTCAAATAATTTTGAATTTATAATATTTTTTATCTTGAAGGATACAAAAAACAATTTGGAAGTGTTATTTTAGTTTAAAGAACTAATACAATCTCTGATATTATTAAATAAGCTTAATAATTTGAAGTTAGTTTCGTCTTTCGGCTTTATTAAGGATAGTTTCTATGGCAACTATAAATTTGTGTATATTACATTAGTAATTATCTAGTTGCTATGTGTTAAAAATTCTTACTAACAAGTAAATACAAAATTTGACCGGTAATATTATCAAGAAAGACTTTTTCTATAATATTTCCGGTTATATTTTGGATTTACTTATTAACTGAGAATACGAAAGAATTTTTAATATGAAACATATTTAAGAGTTCCTGCACCAGAATTTTTATTGCTTAGATAGATTATTATACATGTATATAAGATCTACAATTCAAAATTGGCATCATTGCGCAGTAATGGATAGCATGCTGTCACAGCTACAACTTTATTTGCAATGGTTCAATTTTGACAATCATCAAAAAGTCCTTTGATTTACTGATAGTTCTTCAATTCGTAGCAAAAAATATTATTAAAAGTTTCACGTTGCCAAAGTTATATACTAAGTAGTTGTTTGGGAAATTCCTCTTACACCAATAGTAGGGCTTATTCTTTTTCGTATTACCACAAAATGTATTTGTGCTTTAATGGGCAATCTGGTCTGATACATTAGCATATCTGATATATCTAATTTATTGATTCTGAAATAAACTATATACTTTATATTGTGATCGAACTTTAAATGTGCATTCTTTTAAGCAATTTTAGTAAAATGTTTTTGCGTTTATGTTTTCGTATTAAGATCTCATTTAAAATAATAAAAAAGGCGCCCTTCGATTTTACAAAACTTTACCGTAATATTCATTTTTGCCATAACAATTCTAAATTAATCAATTTCAGAAAATTGGTTCCTATCCCTAATATTAAAATAAAGGATCAGTAATTTTATATATACTTTTTATAGAAATATTTGAAAAATTAAACATAAACTTATACACACTAATTGTAATGATGTTTTCTTTTTCATGGATGAAAACACGGAATTTATTATATGCTATCTATTACATGTATTAACATGATTCAACTAAAACCACCTTATAAATTAATTTAATATGAAAG